TGTAATCACACCATCATGGTTATCTGGGTCATAAAGATCTTTTTTGTATAGTTCTTCTGTGTATTCTTGCCACCTCTTATTAATATCTTCTGCTTCTGTTAAGTCCATACCATTTCTGTCCTTTATTGGGCCCATCTTTGCATGACATGTTCCCTTGGTATCTCTAAATTTCTTGAAGAGATCTCTAGTCTTTCCCATTCTATTGTTTCCCTCTGTTTCTTTGCATTGATCACGGAGGAAGGCTTTCTTATCTCTCCTTACTATTCTTTGGAACTCTGCATTCAAATGGGTATATCTTTCCTTTTCTCCTGTGCTTTTGACTTCTCTTCTTTTCACAGCTATTTGTAAGGCCTTCTCAGACAGCCATTTTGCTTTTTTGCATTTCTTTTTCATGGGGATGGTCTTGTTCCCTGTTTCCTGTACAATGTCATGAACCTCCGTCCATAGTTCATCAGGCACTTTGTTTATCAGACCTAGTCCCTTAAATCTATTTCTCATTTCTCACTCAGTTGTGTCCAACTCTCTGCGACCCCTTGGACTGTAGCCCACCAGGATCGTCTGTCCATGGGGTTTCCCAGGCAAGAAGACTGGAGTGGGTTGCCATTTCCTTCTCCATATACATGGAAGCCAAAGGCTAAAAGTGTAGAGAGATATTGTAAATTATATATGAACCAGAAAAGTCTGGTCTAAGTGCTTGCTGACAGTGGCTTCTTTGAAATGCAAATGTGAAACTGTTGCAGATTGTAGGCAAGGAGGGAAGGCAGAGGGCAGAAACTAGACCACTGTTCTAGGTGTTATCTCAGTTACCACAAGAGGATTGTGTTGGTATTACAGCGTTACATCATCATCATCACACACACATGTATATTTTCAAAGAAAGAAACATCAGTTCAAAAAAATCTCAAAAATTGGCCTAGAGTAGAATCCATAATATGCTCTCACCAACACTGGTCTGACTGAGGTTATTTCTTAGAGCAACGGTGATTATGTTGAATCGAAAAATCAAAATGCAGCTCAAAAAATAAGAGTGATTCTAAAGTCAAACACAGATGAATAATTAACCACAATGTTTTATTCTCTCACACTTCCATTCTCCCCACTTTTTCTCTACCATCATCTCATCAACTGTACCACAGGATCACTCCTTTATCGATTACTGTCATCCATGAGATTCGGTGCTAGTACCCCTGCCCCTCCCCACAGTTTCATTGCTTTGTTTTCTAGGAGGTTCTGTGTGAGCTGCTAGAAATAAGAACAAATTTGATTTGAGCCTTGATTTCATGAAGCTTAGAATCTAGCCTTTCATGTAGGTATCTTGAAGTGAAGTGAAAGTCGCTCAGTCATGTCCGACTCTTTGCAACCCCTATGGACTATAGCCCACAAGGCTCATCTGTCCAGGGAATTCTCCAGGCAAGAATACCAGAGTGAGTAGCCATTCCCTTCTCCAGGGGATCTTCCTGACTCAGGGATCAAACCCAAGTCTCCTGCATTGCAGGCAGATTCTTTACCCTCTGAGCCACCAGGGAAGCCCCTTGGTATCTCTTAATTTGAATTTGTCCTCATTAAGTGTATGTACTTCATGTCTGGTGGCTGTTTTGTGTGAGTTCATATGTGAATATTCATGAGCAAGAAAGTTTTGTAATATATCCCTGCTAACAAACCTTGTAGTTCTACTCACTAATAAGCCTATGTCAATATAGTGAGCATAATAAAGCCACTGCTCAGTGTCATATAAAGGACTCTCCAAAAACTCACACACAATTATGAATTTCAGAATAAAGAAGCATCATGTAATATATGGATGTATATTTATTAACTTTGAAAGATAATTTACATTTATTATCTTTGAAAGATAATAAATTTATCTTTATTATCTTTTAAAGGCTAGATCCATTCTTTTTTCAACTTTTAAAATGTTTATCCTCACACATGGCGTGTGGGATCTTAGTTCTCCAACTAGGGCTCAAACCTGTGTTTCAGCAGTGGAAGCATGGAGTCTTAACCACTAGACCACCAGCAAAGTCCCAATGTACATTTATTTTTACATGTGGTCTGCTTGGTCCATACATGTTTTGTGACAATTTACAGGAGTGTGTAATAACTAAGTGACTAAATCAGAAAGAAAGCCCAATCAGTCAGTCTGTTAGCTTTACAAATGAGGAAATGATAGAGCTAAGAGGCTGAATATTGAAGGGACCTGACTGCAGTCACACAACTGATTAGTATCAGAGCTGAGACCCCATCTCAAGTGATTTGACTTCCAGGAGAGAATGTTTTCTTGTGCATTACAGATGATACACTGGGGGAAGTTCATCCTCACCGCTCATCCTAATTTAGTCAAGAGTGTTGACTAAAAGCAGAGACTCTAGACTCAAACAGAATTGAGTTTCAGACCTGATTTTAGCAGCTACCAGCTCTGAGTTTCTCTCTTTCTAAGTCTTACCATCTGAATCTGTAATAGAAGGAGAAGCATATCCTACCTCATAGAGCTGTAATAAAGAAAAGAGGACTTGATGCTTAATGCAATGTTTGGAACATAGTATAGTAAGGTGTGCTAGAAATTAACTTTTATTATTATGCAAACATAACTGAATACTTTTTGTGTCAAGGGAAGAAGATGAAGAGGTTCTAGAGATTCTCCATAGAAACTGAGTAACTATAATAAGTGTACAGAAAGATATCATGGAAAGAGGATTACATAGTATATACATAAGACCATTTCTGGGGAATTTCCTTGTGGTCCAGGGGTTAGAACTCCAAGCTTCCACTGTCAGGGCCCAGGTTCAATCCCTGGTTGGGGAACTAAAATTCTGGAAGCCATGTGGTTCAGCCAAAGAAAGAGAGAAGACCATTTCAGACTTAAAAGAACTCTCATCTAGTTTAACCTCCTTGTTTATATTTTCTATGCCCTATGGTGTATCTTTCTTCCACTTCTTTAGCTGAGAAAGAATAGGACCAGGGCCTAGATGGAAATGCATTGGGCTGGACTGAATTCTCTGGAATGGAGACAAAGCCAGTCAGAAATGAGAGAGAGGAAGTACTGGAATGAAAAGATGGAGTGAAAATCGGGGGAGGAGTGTGGAGTAATCCTCTACTAAATAAAACATGTTATTTAGTAAGTAGAGTATTACTACTTGGGGCTTTGCAGGTGGCACTAGTGGTAAAGAACCCGCCTGCCAATGGAGGCGAGGTAAGAGATGCAGGCTTGATGCCTTTGTTGGGAACATCCCCTGGAGTAAGAAATGACAACCCATTCCACTATTCTTGCCTGGAGAATCCCATGGATAGAGGAGCCAGGGAAGCTCTGGTCATAGGGTTGCAAAAGAGTCAGACACGACTGAAGCGATTTAGCACATTTCCCCTGCCCACCTCCAATCCACCCCTGAGCAGGTCCAGGATGAAGAAAAAGGTATGAAGGAATAGAAGTAATGTAGGTGCCTCAGTAAATATTTTTAAAGTAGGGGGAAATTAGTATTTATATTAATAATTTGTGACTAAAGTCAAGTGCAATATCATTTGCCCTCTTTTCATTTTTTTAGTAATGTGATATAGATACACATTATTGGTTCTTATTTTTTTAAGGCAGTGTAATTTTCCTGAGATGAATTCATTAGGATAGCATATTTAAGTGGTTATAATTCCAGGAATTAGAATCAACCACTGCCTAAAATATTATCAAACCAAAGAAATTTAACATCACCCTGAAACAATCTACACTCTGTGTGTTATTCTTGATACTCTAAATGAAAGTAAGGTTAGATTGGCAGGTATGTTCACATGTTTACAGTGGTTGTTAAGTTTAAAGGAAAAGTTTGGAGCAATATTTACGGTATAACATCTGTATGACTCAATACTTAATTGTTTATGGATATATGTACAAGGAATGTCTAGAAGACTGCCCGCCAAAATGTGGGAAGTGGTGAGAGGAGACCAGAAAGCCTACAGATTGATCTCATTTGCTTATCTACAGTGTGATCAATTTTAACAATGAGCACTATTAGTTTTATCACTTAAAATGTGTTTTAAAGAAATAAAACAGTACTAGAATAAATCCCACTTGATCGTGGTGTGTGATCCATTTTATGTATTGTTGACTTCAGTTTGCTAACATTTTGTTGAGAATTTTTGCATCTATAGTCAACAAAGATACTGGCCTGTAATTTTCTCTCTTGGTTTTGGTATCAGGGTAATGCGAGTCTTGTACAATGAATTTGAGAATGTTCTATATTCTTCAATTTTTGGAATAGTTTGAGAAGGATAGGTATTAACTTTTCTTTATATATTTGGCAGAATTCCCCTGTGAAACTGTCCAATCCCGGACTTTTGCTTGCTGGGAGATTTTTTTTTTTTTAATTACAAATTCAGTTTCACTACTAGTGATCAGTTTGTTCTGGCTGTTGTTCCTGATTCAGTCTTGGCAGGTTGTCACAGTAGCCTTGTAAAGTGCTTGCTGCTGCGTCTTGATGCTTGGCCCATATCATGGAGTGGAGGTCACAGTGCTAGGCTTCCAGTCCCAACACTGACCCAAATATGTGACCTTGGCTATTCTCTAGCTTTGCCTTCTTGATCTACTAAATGAGAGATTGAACTAGATGATCTCTGAGGTCATTTCCATCACTATAATTAGGTATTTTATGCTTCTAAGTGTTGAGAGAGTAAAGACATTCCTGCATGGATCTTTGTGTGTAATCAGCTGACACTACAATTTAGGATGTCAGACTATCCTTAGTTTATTGCTGATTTGATTTTGGTTAGAGGTTGATGTGTCTCTAGTGTACATAATTACAATTGACATTGATGGGTACAGAGCAGCTCACAAGGCTTATTAAATCCAGCCATAGAATTTGAATGTTCTGGGTTCCCTTCAGCCTTCTCATAAACTATAAATCATCCTAATGTTGAAACTTGACCTTCCTCAGCATGAATAAAGTCTTCTGAATTTCAAAGGCATTTGTGAGTTTGCAGTGTCCCTGAATACAATGTTATCCTCTGAGTCACATGCTGAAAACCCAGTTCTAAATAGATCTTATTGGGTGTTTGGTTTAAAGGTGAACTCAAGCAAATCTATTATTGAAAATCTCGTTCCTGGTGCCCAATACCAGGTTGTGATGTACCTAAGAAAAGGCCCTTTGATTGGACCACCTTCAGATCCTGTGACATTTGCTATTGGTAAGTTGCCAGCCACAAGAAAAATACCTTTATCAGAGTACTGTTTGGAGGGGTGCCATGTCTAAGTTCAAGTCATTATCATCAGTTTTGGGAAGTCCATACTTGTTCACCCAATATTCAACCTTCAGAGTAATTAAGGACCACAATTGTATACCTGGTAGGTATCCTTGGCATTCATTACTTAGGAAAAAGAAAATCTCAGGCAAATATGGTTAGTTTTCAATGATTGTATCAAAAAAGTGAAATACCTAGTCAGTCAGTAAGTAGAGATGTGAAGCCATTGTTAAGATATTAAACATTACTTCTTGACTTTCTTTTTTCACTCCCTTCCCTTCTTCTTAGTTCCAACTGGAATAAAAGACTTGATGCTCTATCCCTTGGGTCCTACAGCAGTGGTTTTGAGCTGGACCAGACCTTACTTAGGAGTGTTCAGAAAATATGTGGTCGAAATGTTTTATTTCAACCCTACAACAATGACATCAGAATGGACAACCTACTATGAAATAGCCGCAACTGTCTCCTTAACTGCCTCAGTGGTAATTTTCCTTAACCAGCTGTCACATTTTCCTGTATCAACATGTGTTCACGTACCAAATGTGTCTGAAAAAATTATTATGCCTGTAAACTAGATCATTTGTAAACACATACAGGTAACGTGCTACTTTCAAGTTTGGGATTGTTTTAGCTCTTAATTTTATTTTTGTATTTTGAGAGAGAGAGAAAACTGTGTGAAACTGGCTTTCACTCTTAATTGAGTGTATTTGCTAATCCCCAATTTAGTAGACCTGTCACATGCTTGCTTTCTTGGTGACTCAGCTGGTAAAGAATCTGCCTGCAATGTGAGAGACCTGTGTTGGATCCCTGGGTGGGGAAGATCCCCTGGAGGAGGGCATGGCAACCCACTCCAGTATTCTTTGCCGGGAGAATCCCCATGGACAGAGGAGCCTGGTGGGCTATAGTCCATGGGGTCACAAAGGGTTGGACATGACTGAGCGACTAAGCACATCATATGCTTATTGTTTCTTTCTGCTCCTAAGTCAGAAAACACGTTTTCCTTTAGTTATTCAGTAGTGAGTGGACACTGCTTAACTTGAATGATGACTATTCTTAACATCAACAAATCAGTTAGATACCTGCAATGTCAGACCATTAGCGATGTTCTTCAAATGAGCAGGTAAAGATTACTCTTTCTGAGACTGGAATAATTTTAGAAGTACAGGTTATCTACAAGTCACACAGAAAGCAAACAACTGTCCACTACTTACTTGACAACTCTCATGATTGCCACCCAGTATGGACACATGCTAACAGTCCAAGATGAAAGAATGCAGAATTGTGAACGATCACATCTTAGAAATAGGAAGATGTGTCCATCCAGTCACTTACAAATAAGTACCAGTTCACTTGTGTAATTTAAGAAACTGCAAACAAAAACCCATTTTCAAACTATCTGTATTTTTGAATAATTTTTTAAATTATGTTAAATTTACGTGTATCATTTTATTTATATCTCACTTCATTCCAAAGAGAATATTTTAATGGAAAATGTGAGAAGTACAAAATCAACTGTAGACAGTCAGGTTCCTCTGTCCATGGGATCTTCCCAGGCAGCAATGCTGGAATGGATTGCCATTTCCTTCTCCAGAGGATCTTCCCAACCCAGGGATTGAAGCCACGTTTCCTGCATTGACAGACGGACTCTTTACCACTGAGCCACAGGGAGGCCTCCCAAAGGCACAGAAAGGAAATTAAAAATTACTCATTTTTTCATAGCCTAAGAGAAATATATAACTCTATTCCAAAAATATGATTTTCCTTCTGGGTCTTTTTCTTCTTGCTTTTTTTAGAGGATAGCAAATCTGTTGCCAGCATGGTACTACAACTTTCGCGTTACCATGGTAACATGGGGAGACCCGGAACTCAGCTGCTGTGACAGCTCCACTATAAGCTTCATAACAGGTGAGTGTGTGGGAAGTGGTCCCATGAGAACAGATCCCTATTTTGAGGAAGTTCTGAAGGGGCTCATCTCCAGAAAATGCCAGGCCTTTACCCAGGACCAAATGAATATCACTTTCATGGAATATGATACACTTGATTCTGAAAGTTCATGATTTGTTTAAATGCTAGCCTTTAAAAATTAAGATACAATTTTTACTTTGAGTTACTGTCCTTGATTTCTTTTTATCCTGAGTCACTGCCCTTGATTTATGCACCACTGTTTGGAATTGATTAGAATCGAGATATAACAGGCAGAGCTCTCAACTTCACACCACACTCAATTGATTTTATCCGTTTGATAATTGTATTTGCTAGAGTGCCTCCATTTCCTTATTAATTAAGCCATTTGTAAAGTCACAGGCTGACTGCGGTATTGTCCATGGCAGGAATTAAAACAGGCTTGCAGACTTGTAGACTTGGGTGTGAGTCACAACTTTGCTGCCTTCTACCTGTAAACTCCAGCAATTTTTCTAAGCCTCAGGTTTTTTCAGTTGTAAAATAAGGATAATAATAGTATCTATTATCTGTTACTATTATGTATTATTATGTCCCAATTAAATAAGCTATTTAGCAAAATACATGGCCCAGACTTAAAGGACTTACAATATTATTAGTGACGGATCCTCAGAACCTTAAATTATGTATTAATAGTTCACTATCACATGGCAGAGAGAGCAGAGGTGGGCGGAGGTAGCAATAGAGAAGAAATTCAGCCAAGAACAGTAACTCTCCTTGTCTGAACTAAGATTGTTCAAGAACTTTTGATGGGACTGCAAAGCTGTCATTAGAGTTATACTGAGGAAAGAAAAATATTGTTTAGATGAAGAATAACTTTGTCAAAATATTTCCCTCACTGGACAGCTAGTTTTATAGGCTTGAGATGTATCAATTAAAAAACACTGGAAAGATAGTAATCTTGTGGATTCTTATACAGTTAACTTACACAGTTCACTGCTTTTCTTTACTGGCTGATGTCTGGTACTGCTTTTATTCCAGATGTTAATGGTAATATCAGAGTGGAAAAGTGAAAGGCCACCATAAAAAGAGAAAATGCCAATTATTTGACAAGCCCTGTGTTAGGCTTTTTGACTGCATTAATAATCACATACTTAATTATAATTAAACTTCACTGTGTCAGTAATTCATATACTTAACATAATAGAGATGAGTGGTCTGAGAATGCTTTTTCCTTGTCAGAAGGAGCAGCTGTCTAGGAAAAGCCCAGACTTCACATCTGATCACTTATTGAGCAGATCTGACCTTGCTAATTTCCAGCTATAGAACTTTGAACAAATTAACTTAAGGACCCAGAATTTCTATTTTCTCACTGGTAAGACTGAAAATATTGCCTAACAGGTGGCTAATTGGACAAAACTAATTGTCTTAGAACTCACTGCAGTGTCTGGAGACTACCTGGACAGGGTCTCTGTGGTGACATCAGATATGAAGTATTAATAGGATTTGGAGTTCTGGACCCAAGTGTTTTAGGTGTGCCTTTGAAAGCTGGGAACCACCTGGGAATAGGCAGAAGTCATGAGATAACTGTTTAGGTGGACAAAGCAAGTCTGCATACATAAAGTTTGGTTAGTAAGCAAGCTACTTGCCTAGCTGTTGTCTCCAGTGAATTGATCTTTGGGAATTTCTGATTTTTTCCTGGGATCAACTGCTAAGTCATGCTGACACTGGCAGTCCACAGTCTTACCTGAGCATATTGACACAGATGGCCTCAGTTTCCATATCTATAAAATGGTCATAGGGACTTCCCTCATGGTCCAGTGGCTAAGACTCCTTTGTTCCCAATCCAGGGAATTCAGGTTGCATCCCTGGTCAGGGAACGAGATCCCGCATGCCCCAACGAAAGGTCCTGCGTGCTGCAATGGAGATTGAAGATCCCACATGCTGCAATTGAGACCCAAGGCAGTCAAATAAACAAATAATTTTTAAATGGGCATAATAATACCTCACAGGGTAGTGTGAGAATTAAATCATTTAATCTAAATTGTTATTAAAACATATATGGTACCTGAGCTTTATTCTCATAACTTTATCTAAAACTATTTGAAATTTTAGCCTTTTTAGCGGCAAGGGGAGCTTTCTTCCCTCATTTCAATTTTAAAGCAAATAAAGATCTGATACTTCATGTTCATATGCTTTTTAATCGTAATCCAAATTGACAAATTGTGTAGTATAAAAGGAAATAGGAATAAAATACTTGAATAAGGTCTGACTTGCTAGGCCCTGAAGTCTACAATCTATCAGGCAACTTGTCTGCAAGTCAAGTTCATAATTATACTAGTGTACCAAGTAATGTGTAATAAACAAATAGTGACATCTGGTGGTCTTTCAGCAATACACTGGATTTGAAAGCAACGACATGAAGGAGAATGATCTGATGACTTGGTACTTGTAATGGGGAGATGTATACTTATGGCTTTGTAATTTTATTTTTTTAACTCTTTATTTTGTATTGGAGTATAGCCAGTTAACAATGTTGTGATAGTTTCAAGTGAAAAGCAAAGGAACTCAGCCATACTTGTATATATATCCATGCTCCACCCAAACTACCCTCCTTTCCAGGCTGCTACATAACATTGAGCAGAGTTCCATGTTCTATACAGCAGGTCCTTGTTGGTTGTCTATTTTAAGAATAGCACTGTGTACATGTCCATCCCAAACTCCCTGTAATTTTTTTTCCATTTATTTTTATTAGTTGGAGGCTAATTACTTTACAATATTGNTTCCTGGACCGGGGATCAAACTCATGTTTCCTGCATTGGCAGGTGGATTCTTCACCATTGAGCCACCAGGGAAGGCCCAAAATAAGTCTTTTTGATGTGTAGAAATTCTCCCCCAACCATTAGTTGATTTGGGGCCGAATCTTGCAAAGAACACTGCTTGGCTATCTTCAAGATCACATGGAATTTAAATTCAACTGTGTATGTGTTTGTTGAAATCTTCACAATTATCAGTTACTCTTAAAAATAATTAAAGTATGCTTTCAGAACTTATGTATTACAAAGCTTGTGATGAACTCTCACCCCCAACTGGAATTCTTAAAAATTTAAATGTGTAAGATTATAAAATAAATTAATAAACTTGGTGTTAGAATTTAGCTTTGAAGCATGATTTTCAAAATCCCTTCCTTCCTTTCTTTAATACTTGCTCCAGCAACTTTATTTAGAGCCCTACCTCCCACAAAGCACCAGGCTGCACCCTATCAATGCCATTGACTTGTTATGGTATGGACATATTATTTATTTTTCTGTTCCTTTATTCATTGATCCTGCTGTCGATCCTGTAAACTTCTTTGCTGCCACAATAAAAAAGATTTATTTTTACAGGATCCCAGAGTTTTCAGTACTGCTTGGAAAATAAAGTTCGCCAGTGCCTAAAAATATTAATTTATTGACACAGCAACAAATTAACTGAACAGCTGACCCAAACAAGTTAATGTTTTAGTAATCTTATAACTGAAATTTTTGTAAAGAAGCATGTTCTCCTCAGGCATAGTTGAGTCTGGCTGTCTTGGGTCTGAGCCACGCAAGGTAACACCCCACAGAACAACTGCCCACCTCATACTACCCAACTTCACTATATTACAGACATGTCCATGAGTCCCTAGGACTATCATGCATGCTGTTGTGCATGCATGCTAAGCCACTCTTTGCAATGCTATGGACTGTAGCCCGCCTAGTTCCTTTGTCTATGGGATTCTTCAGGCAAGAATACTGGAGTGGGTTGCTATGACCTCCTCCAGAAGACCTTCCTGCCCCAGGAACCAAATTGCCATCTCTTATGTCTCCTGCATTGGCAGTGGGTTCTTTACCACTAGTGCCACTTGGGAAGTCCATCATGGGGTGTGAATTTTAATTCTTTAAACTCTGTATAGAGTTGGGTTTCCCTGGTGGCTTGGACGGTAAAGAATCTGCCTATAATATGGGAGACCTGGATTTGATCCCTCTGGGGATCCCTTTGGGAAAATCCCCTGGAGGAGGGCATGGCAACCCACTTCAGTATCATTGCCTGGAGAATCCCCATAGATGGAGGAGCCTGGCGGGCTGCAGTCCCTAGAGTCACAAAGAGTTGGACACGACTGAATAACTGAGCACAGGCTCTGTATGGGATTTCACGTTCTATTGATAAGTTCTTTAATTACCAGTAGTCTACTAAATTACAGTGTGTTTCTTCCCTCCATTTTAGCACCAGTTGCTCCAGAAATCACGTCTGTGGAATATTTCAACAGTCTGCTCTACATCAGTTGGACCTACGGGGATGACACCACAGACCTCTCCCATTCTAGGATGCTCCACTGGATGGTTGTTGCAGAAGGAAAGAAGAAAATTAAAAAGAGTGTATGTTTCTTTGAGTCCCAGTATTGGGAACCTGACCTTTACTTGCATATACTATTGAAAATCATGAAGCAAACATTTACTGAGACATTAAACAAGTGTTTGCACACCAGTTAGCACTGTTTATGGTTCTGGGGATTGTGTGTGTGTGTGTGTGTGTGCGTGTGTGCATGCACATGTGCATATGTGCATACTCAGTTGTGTCCAACTCTTGCAACCCCAAAGACTGTAGCCCGCCCGGCTCCTCTGTCCATGGAATTTTCCAGGCAAGATTACTGGAGTGGGTTGCCATTTCCTCCTCTAGGGTATCTTAGAATCCGCTCTCTCTTGAGTCTCCTGTATTGGCAGGCAGGTTTTGTTTTTTGTTTTTTTTTTTTACCACGAGCACCACCTGAGAAGCCTCTCTGGAGATAGGATAGTGAACAAAAATTGAAGGCCTTCTTTCACAGAGCTTACCTTTTAACTTTTAATAGTTGTAATTGTTGTAATTGATTTCCCCTATATTTAAAGTTACGATTTGAACTTTTTCTTCATAGTACCAAACATTTTCAAGAAAATCACAGTATTTTCACTTTTTTCCCCAAAAGGCCCCAAAAACCCCAAAAATTTGAAAACTTGGAAAGAATGAATTCCCCCCCGGGTTAATAACCCTGGTGAAAATGGAATAAGTAAGGGAACAAACAAACAAATGAAAAGAAAAAATTTTTAAGATTGTGGTTTAAAAAATATCAACACCTATATCTTTCTCAAAGTGCCCGGGACTAAAAGGGCACTTCTGCTATGAGAGATTATTCAAGAGTCCAGATCTGTTCTATTTTGCTGCTCCATCTGCCACTGCATATAGTCATCACCTGCATAGGTTAACTCCACTCACCGTTACAGCCACATTCCAGCCCACAGGAAGGGAAAAAGAGAAGATGTGGAGGTCCAGCACTTAACGGGTGTGAACAAAACTCTAAGTTGGCCATGGGACTTCCTCTTACAATCCATTGGTTGGAATTGAGTCACATGGTCCCCACTATCAATATTAGAAACCGGGAAATGTAGTCTTCAGTTAAGAGGCCAGGTGTCTGTGAATATGGCCAAGTTTCTTTTGAGCTTCTCAGTGTGGACTGAGCAATGTTCCTATTTTTGCAACCCAGCAATTGCTTTTTCTAAAATTTGCTGTGAATGCAAGAGGGACCAAAAAAATCATAGTAATACCTACTCCAAACAAAGGAATTAATCACAAAAAATGTTCTGATCTGTGTTGTGCTTATTTGGAGCTACCTTGTATTTGGCTCAGTTGAGGAATTTGTATCATTTTCAGAGGAAAGAGCATATCCATAAGGTTCAATCAGCTGTAGACTGCAGCACAGAACAGAGATGGCATGTCTGTGATAGCCCTACAGCTTGATTTTGGTGATCTTGCAGGTAACGCGCAATGTCATGACTGCAGTTCTCAGCCTGCCCCCTGGAGATATCTACAATCTCTCGGTAACTGCTTGCACAGAGAGAGGAAGTAACACCTCCATGCTCCGTCTTGTCAAACTAGGTAAGAGAACACCGGTGTGTGTGTGCAAATAATCATGCTGGAGGACTAGTGTTTGTATCTCTTGGTTTAGCATGGTCTTCTCAATTCAAAGAAATGGAAAAAACTGGTTCAGTGCCTTTTATAAATGCAAAAAAGACTTTACACTATCAAAAAAGTACATTCAACATGTACTGTTGAGGACAGTGTCTACTGTATTGGGAGAAGGGAGTCCATTGTTCATAGTAAGATTAGAAGAACCACAGACTCTTAGGATTTTACAGATGGAAGGACCTTAGCTGTTATCTAGTGCGATATTCTCAACCCTATCGGATACTATTTTCCTGTTACATAAGTAAAGCTGAACTTCGTAGATAAAATAGTCCACACATTGATTTTTCAAATTTGATGTATCATCCTAATTCTAAAATAAAATCAAGATAAAAGGACAATAATTTATAAAAAAAAAAAATAACATGGATTCCCTATGTAGGTCTTCAGGTACAGCTTTTCAGTCTTCTAAAAGTCGTAATGGGACTACCTGATGACTACCTACAATGAAAATGAATAAATATGAGTTTGTAAGAAGTAACAGGAGCTGTAGTTCTTCCATACAAGAAGGATAAAAATAAAGGATGAACAAATTCATCATAACTCATTTATTACTATTAAGCAAAAGTAACTATCAAACTTAAGTGCAGTTAGGCCCTAGAATAAAAACTAAAGTTAGGAGAAATATTAAGAGAGTAGATATATTTGCTTATGATGAAAGAAAGTGGAAAATAATGTTGGTTAGAGTGAGGATAACATGCTAAGAAAAATGATGACCTGTAAGGGAAAATGAGGAAAGTATATTCTTACAAATGAGCTGGAACTGATTGTGTGCTGTTAAAATAATTATATTACAAAAAGCAACTGGGAAGTGACACTATGTAATGCAAAACACATCTTCTACATTCAACAATATCATGTGTTAAAATATTTAGTTTCTGGTACTTAAAGGGACCTCAGAGATGATATCCTATAATTGCAAAAGAGAACATATTGGCAAAAAGTTGGGTGGTAGACTTCTTGGGCAGTGTCAGTTTAAGGATGATAACCCCAAAATAAATGCATATCAATATGCAATTTTTACAGCTGAGACCTCATCATTTTAATGGTTGAAAATAAAGTCTATACGTGACTAGACATCATGAAATCATTTCATGATCCATAAAAATATTGAATAATTACATTGCATACCTAAAACTAATGCAATATTGTGTATCAAGTATAATTCAATAAAAAATAAATTTACATATAGAGTGGCAATAAAAATATTTTCAAAATACTTAGTGCAACTTACTGACATCATTGTTTCAGATGTCTGCTAGCTTGTACTCTGTATCTGAGTCTGTCCATAAAAGTCTCAAATAGTCTCTGTTATTACTATGTTCATATGTACTGCTATAAGTGAAGAATGAACCAGGGTGATTTATTAGCAGCTTAAATACCAGGAGCAGTAGTGCTGTCAGTGATGCTTTAGAAACTCTTGGAAAATCTGAAACAAAACAAAGCACAATGTTTTCTCAGATTATCCACTAGTTGCATTTCTCTATAATTCAATGCACAAAACATTAAGTTTTAAATCTTTTTTTGTCTCCTATTTGCCATGATAAAAACTAAACTCTTTCACTGAAAACATTTAGAATTAAATAGATAATTGAAAAGGCATGATGTACTAAATAGACAATATGGGCAGTAAATTATTGAGTAGTTTTTCAGTATCATTTTTAAAAATTTATTGAAGTACAGTGGATTAACTTTGTTGTGTTAGTTTCAGGTGTCCTGCTAAGTGATTCAGGTATACGTATACATATTTTCATTCTTTTTCAGATTCTTTACCCATGTAGCTTATTAAGAATATTGAGTAGACTTTTCTGTGCTATACAGTAGGTCCTTGTTGGTTATTTATCTTATATATAGCAGAGTGTTTGTTAATTCCAAGCTCCTAACTTATCCCTCCCCTTCCCCATATTTTCCTTTCAGTAACTATAGCTTTGTTTTCTAAAACCATGAGTATGTTTCTGTTTTTCAAATAAGTTCATTTATATCATTTTTAAATTCAATTCCACCTATAAGTGATATCATAAGATTTGTCTTTCTCTGCCTGACTTACTTCAATTAGAATATTTTTTCCAATATTAATTGTGTGATAAATTACTTGTAATTATATTTATAATGAATTTATTCTGGTCGCAAAATTAGAAGTTTGTGTGGAATGTGGGACATGGGACAGTTTTTCTCTTCGGAATTTTCTTGATCATAGGAAGACATCTAGAATTTCTGAGCCCTGCCCACAGAAGTCTGATTGACTTTGTGGCTTTGTGATCCTTTGTGACTGCTAAAAACATTACTGCAAATTTCCAAGCACCCTCAAGGGGGCTCTACTGCTCCTATCAAGACTCGTGAGTTAAGTTAAATCTTTCTTGCACTGCCCACAATCTACTTCTCCCTGACAGTCTAGACTTGAATTTCAGGAATGTGGAGATCACCAGTTTCCAACACTAGATGATCTATTTATTAAGAAAAAAGTCATTTGTTTAGCAATTCCAACCATTATCTCTTATTTTAAAAAAATTTATCATTTTAATTGGAGGTTAATTACTTTACAATATTGTGGTGGTTTTTGCCATACATCAACATGAATCAGCCACAGGGGTACATGTATTCCGAAACCTCCCTCCCACCTCCCTCCCCATCCCATCCCTCTGGGTTGTCCCAGTGCACAGGCCCTGAATGCCCTGCTTTAATCATTGAACTTGGACTGGTCATCTATTTCACATATGATAATAAACATGTTTCAATGCTATTCTCTCAAATCATCCCACCCTCGCCTTCTCCCAGAGTCCAAAAGTCTATTCTTTACATCTGTGTCTCTTTTGCTGTCTTACATGTGATTTTTGTCTTCTGTATGAATGTTAGTTCCAAGTTTGCTTCCAGGTAACTGGAATTACTTGCAGACTCTGCCTGTGTTCCCCAAGGCCTTCTCTTCCCAAGCTTCTAGATGTTTTCTCCAATTCATTTAGTACGCTGGTCTCCCTTAAGGTGCAAGTTCAGGGGTGGTCCTACCAAAGTAGCATTCAGTGGCCTATTGCATGTTTTGCTGTCATTTTTATGTGACATTATGAAGGATCTCTTATGTGACATTATGAATGATCTATGAAGTCTCAGGAATATGGGGTAAAGTCATAAACTGGAACAATTACACTCACACAAATAGGAGTAGGACTAAGAAACTGACTTTGTTTCCCAAACTTACCATTGGGTTTTGAGCCTCCATTTCTCTCCATTAATGGACAGGATTGCTTCCACCAATTTAGGAAGTTCCTTTAAATGTTTCAAGTAGGGAAGCAAGTTCCCACAGCAATTATTTCTAGTGAATCATTGCCCTTAGAATCAATCAGCTTTTCCATGTTGATATCTTAATATCAGATAGAATATTGCCTCGATCTTGTTCCTCTCTGAAGCAAGAAGACAATCTTTGTATAACGTATCTGTCCTCAGCCTTTTCTTTTCTGAAAACAAAATAACATACTTTTTATCCATTTGTTTAAAGGTCTGTTTTCCATTCTGCTTATCACATTATTGTATTTTATAAGCTGTTTCAATTTTCTATAACACAATGCCTTCTCTGCTGTAGATACTTAATACGTATTTGTTGAATGAAAATAAACTACAGACCTCAAAGTTAAAATCAGTATCATAGTTAATATTTAACCAAAACAAGTTTCATCTTTCAAAGAAGTGAAATATTTTGCTTTTGAAATATTTAGTATTAACTGACTTGCAAGTTTTTTTTCATAAAACATTCATTCTTGCCATCTGAGGAAAGAAAACATTCTATCAGTGAATCCAGAACAATATAAATTAATCCAAGATGGTACACTACCAAAATTATTCAATTATTATGTCATTAATGGACATCCAGGAGAAGACAATACTGCTAATGATGCTGTTTACAAGGCTTTGAGCCAGTCATCCCATTATGAATTTTAGGTTGCCAAGAGTTTCATGGTAGTACAATGGTAAATGATGAGAGTTCCCTTTGGTAGTCAACACAACTGTCAATCAAATCTGCATTAAGACTTGTCATTTTACAAGTACTCATTGGTCTGCATGCAATCATGGCTTCAACCAGCAACCAGTCATAAATTCTAGTCTTGGTGGAATCCACCTGGAATTCTGGTGAAACGTTAGGCGGATTTGTAAGCTTACATCAGACAATCAGTTTTCCAACTGAAAAAAAAAGGAAAAGAAGGAAGTTGTGAGGGAAAGAATTAAGAATGAAAACAAAATAAGAACGAGATTCATAAAATAGATCTATGGTAATGTTGCAGGAAGGGAGACCTGAAAGTGGGCCCAAGAGTGGGCTCTTGTTTAACACTTGGAAATGACTTGTTCAAGGAGACATACATGCTGACAAAGCAAGAGATTTTATTGGGAACAGGTGCCCAGGCCATTAGCGATAGAGTAAGGGAAACCAGGAGAACTTCTCTGCCATTATGGTGATGGGGTTAGTTTCTGGGTTGTCTCTGGGCAATCATTCTGACTCAGGGTTCTTCCTGATGGCACACAGATTGCTCAATCAAGATGAACTCCAGTGAGAAGGATCCTGGGAGGCTGGTGGGACATTTGGACTGAAATCTCTCTCCTTTTGACCTTTCCTGAATTCTTCCAGTTGGTGGTAACTTGTTAGTTCCATGTTCCTACCAGGACCTTCTGTTGTAAGATAACTCATGCAAGTGGTTACTATGGTACCTGGCCATGGTGGATGATCTCAGTCAGTGGTTCCCCAACAGTAATAGCATATCCATTCACTAATTTATTTAACAAATATGTGCTAAGAAACTTCTAAGCACTGTTCAGATGCCAGACTTATGTCTGTGTGCTCAGTTGTGTCCGACTCTTTGCAACCCCCCTGGACTGTAGCCCACCAGGCCTCTCTGTCCATGGGATTCTCTAGGCAAACATACTGGAGTGGG